ATATATATATATACATATACCCATACATATATATATATATATACATACATAACACGTCTGTATATATGTATATATGTATGTCTGTACATACTACCGCAGGACAAAACTTCGCCACACGATCTGCAACTTTATACGTCAGACTCTGTGACCCCTTTTCCCCCCTAGACTCCTGACACAAGGTCCCGCAAGGCCCCTCGTCCGGAACAAATATAATAGTACAATTTCATTCCTGGGCTTTAACTACTCCCCCATGCTGGCAAGGTTAAACTGACTTTCGGCCTCTCGGCTTCTCCGCAGCATAGAGCTGGGTCGACACGACATCCGCGAACCGATGTAAATCCCTGGGATCCTCTGTATATTCGTACTATACCAAAACAAAGGCACAAAGGCCTCATTAAGGCCTGCGTACCCCGAGGCCGGCGGAAGCTGGGGCGTGGACCATGTAACCATTAGTGCGCAAGAGCAAGACCTCATGAGGTCGATGTGATGCAAAGCAGCGCCGAGTTCGGCCGCACTTGGAAGTGATCTGAGAGTTCATGTTCCAACTTAGCCCACGGCGCTCAAGGCCTCTTTCTCCTCCGCTTCGGTGATCCGCAACCGAAAGTCCTTACGGTCAGTCACAGCTGCTAATTGACACGGAGTGTCGAGGCTCAGCCCGCTTTCATGCCACTGACCTGAGCTAGGCACTCGCATCTTGAATATGCGATATAGGGCCGCGTCAAGAACCTCGGAAGCTGAGTAGAACTTCACCACACAGAGGCGTCTGCCCATAAAACGAAAGCGGCAGAAGACGCAACAGGATGTAAGAGCATCTCACGTCAGGTACAGACCACCAATATAAAACAAACGATCTCTTCACCACAACATGAGGGTCGGAGTAAACAGTGCATCTATCGGTATCGTTACCCCGTGTACTGTGGTTGCTGGCAGAATTGCCAAGATTAGTGCTCCCAGCGCTCGGACATCATAAATAAGCTTCATGTGTTCTTCGAACATTTAGAATTGCTGCTGTCATTCTCACTTTGAGCCTGGTACAAGTACTTTTGCTATACTGCTTGTTGGTTTCGGCATTGTTATTGCTGTTACTCTCGTTGCGACTGTTGCGAGCATCACTGTTACAGATGCCTCTATGAAAACTATATCTAACTTAGAGATACGGCTGCTGCTGGTGACCCATGTGACCCAGTTATTGTTAACCTATTCCCATAGGTAACAAATAACCTGCTTATGGGTGTGGCTCGTTTGACTATAGGCCTGTTAGTGGTACATTCCGCCGCGTTGTCGTCGCAACTAACCGCTATCATTGCCTGTCATCAGTAATGGCATCGCTCTTGCGATGACGCTTTTGCTGCTAATGCTGCAGACAACGGTGTCACCATTCACTTTGCCGCCGTTGTTGCTGCTGTTAGGCTTGGTTGTACGGCTGTTGCAAGGTCGTTGCTCTTGCATTTTTGATAACTGCTCTTGCTGATTGAACGAATTTCCTGCTGTACTGCACAGGTCTATCTTGATGCGCCGAGGATGTGTTGCATGACTTCAAAACAAGCACTCAAATCCTTCTATCCTGCGATTTGACGACAACAACATCAACGTCCCCAGCAGAAGATGACAAGATCTGGGAACCATGCCGACTACAGTATTTCCTTCTGTGGATAGAAAGTATGAGTCGAGAGTATGACGATTATCATAATGCGTATCTCAAGAACCGTGTCTCCAGTCCCTCTGAGGTGGTGACTTTTAGATTGCAATACTTTTTGAAGATGTGCTGCTGCCAAACCCTGGCAGGGCGTAATGTTGAAAGCACAGGGCACAGTAACCGTTCGCCCTCTTTTGGAGGTGTGCGCTCAAAATGTCAAGGATCAACTGCAAGTTTGCCAGACCACTTTGTCGTCTGAAACTGACCGTATCCCATCTCTGCGCGCCTTAAGGGGCAGGTCTCGTCCAGAAGGAAAGAGTGCGCCAGGTAGATCAAGAGAACGCACACGTGGGCGGCCTTCATGTCTAGACGATTATAGGCATTATGAGGATGGTAACACAATATTGGTGAAAACCGTCGTCATCGTGGTGAGATTCATCGGCCTAATCAAGTCATCATCACCATCATCATCGTCATCGTCATCATTGTCGTCATCACCATCATGACCATCATGATGAAAGACCAGCATCGTAGAAATGCTGCTAGCTGAATGGAACTCCTTTATGCACGAAACTATGTACACCATAGCATACAAAGGCCGTGCGAGCTGATGTGCCAGAAGGGCCTTTCCGTGTCGCAAACCTGCTGGCTTCTGGCATGGGTGCATCGCTGTCAGACTGACTCAGGAACTGCAGAACAGAAAACGAGGGTTTCGAGTTTGAGCGATCATCTTAAGCAGAATCGCCTGTAGGATGATGAGGATGATGCTGATGACGATGGTGATGATGATGATGATAATGATGATGATGATGATGAAAATTATGATGATGATGATGATGGTGATGATGGTGATGATGATGATGATGATGATGATGACGATGATAACGAGTATCACAATCCAGTACGGTTATGACCTCTCTCCATCTGACAAGTGATTCATTGTCTCTCATGCCGCGACGATGCTGTTTCTTTATTATAAATTTCCGAATAGAAGTTGTAAGCGTTTTGTCATTACTGTCATCACGACTACTGTTACAATAGCTGTAGCGAGATATGTGATCTGCAACTGCCATCAATACCAAATTCCTGGCTTCGCGAGTGGTTGCGGAGAGGCTATGACAAAGTCTGCAAGTGTCTGTACACATCACTACAACTCTCATAGATAATAAAACATAACATAACATGACATAACATAGCATAAATATGAGGAACAGGATAGAATAGAATAGAATAGAATACAAAAGAGCAGAATACAATACAATAAAATGTAATGCAATGTGATGTAATATATAAAAAAATACAATTTCTAAACTAATATAAGATTAAGGTAGTATGTAAGATAATGTCGAAGTGTCGAAGACGCAAGCTCCACCTCGTAGTCACTCATCGTCCGGCCTATGTTGTCGAATGCACCTGAGGTCACACAGCATGAAACCGTGTGACGATTTTGCAGTGACGTGAGCTTGGGCCTCGAAAGGACCTATCTGCCTCAAGCATGTCTTTTGCAGACTGGCGTGCACGATGAGATCAAACATGCTGGTTTCAAATCTCGCATATGCAGAGATGACCGGGCATGACTGGGGCAGAATTCGACCAGCCATGCCCAGAATCCTAACCTAACGACAGCCGGCAGGCTTTCTGCCGCTGTCTCTAACGGCACCCGGCAACTGGTGCCCCCCCTGAAATGGCAGTCATTACAGAGAATCGAACCATGCCAGGGCTCTGTTTGGTTTCAACTTGAAAAGATCAACAACCGTCTTCATCATCAGAATCATCTGCACACAGATTGACAGCAGAAACGAAACAGAAGACCAACAACACCGACAAGAGCCACAGTCACAGCAACAAACATCGTCGTGACACTGCTAGGTCAAATTGTGATGGTCATGTCCTCCCCGTACACAAAGATGATGATAGTGATTATGACAATGTTGACGTTGACGATGCTGCTGCGATGATGGTGATGATGATGATGATGGTGATGATGATGGTGATGATGATGGTGATGATGTTGGTCGGTGATGATGATGATGATGGTAGCAGCAGTAGGAAGAGGATGCAGCTTCGCGGACATTTGAAAGACGGTGCAAGACCATCATCAGCAGCAGTAGCGCAATGGCCGCACGAATAACACGAACTGAAGGAAATTTCATGGTGGAACCCAGCAGCGAAATCATAGAAAGAATCAAACACACGCTCACCATAACAAAGACCAAACACTGACTCTAAAACAGGCTGGTGATGAAGCTCATAATCGTAAACATCATCAGAATAGGGATGATCGCAACCATGCCGATTCAGATGATGATGACGATGACGATGGTGATCATGAAGATGTTGGTGGACGTCAAAGTCACGAGTTCGTGGTGCATAGCAGTAACCAAAAGTTATTCACCAATATCTGCAACAGTACCGGAAAACACAGTAGGAGGTAATAGTAGTTGCAGAGCGAAGATTGGCAGTCGTGACAATTGTAATATGTAGTGCCGATGACACATACAGCGATGTCGGGCGTCAGATGTAGCTTCGGAGCAGCAAAACAGCCCGGCATGGTCTGAAGAGAGAGGTATAGCAGCTGCCAACCATTGGCAGCCAACTGCCAGAATGCACTCAGTCCGCCTTGAGTTCGACGTCCTGGGGCAAGGCTTGGTCTTGCGGCGCATCTTAGGTCTCGGTGAGCAGGTGCTAGGTTGGAGGCTTTGGGGTTGGGATCGGAGCCAGTCCGGCAAGCAGACGATACTTCCATCATCAACTACAAAGAGCTTCAGATTCTCGAAGTGAATCTGTTTGTCTTTCGCAGTACAGACGGAGGTAACGACGATGGCGGTTATGAAGAGGATATAACGTCATACCATTGCAGTTTCTGCGAGACCACGCATTCTGCAAGCCAAGCTGCCGTACCTTGACGAATAAAGTAACACAAGGCAACATAACATGATATGTACACCCCCAATTCAGCAATGACCGCGCTTGCACGTTTACCCCCGACATTACAACATACAGCAATGATAACGACCATCTCTGTGGTATAAGCATGACAACAGCCGAAAAAGTACAGGGCTGTATAGATACACAAAGGATGAACAGATGACCATGGCTATAATATGCTAAAATATTATCGTCACGTCAGCAATGAAAAGAGTATGTAGAACATGACCTGCAATGAAACATGTAAGGGACAAGATGAACAAACAACACATTCAAGTAGCAAAACACAGCGTCAAAGCATGCAGCAGTTCTCAAACTTACAATCCCCTCACGGGAAGCTGCTGTGATCCAGAAGTTCAGGGACCAGGGTCTTGGGCTGTGGGCTGGGTGCTATAATTGATTCGCGCAGAGAGCACTGACTAAGGGGCGTGAACGAATCCGAACCGCCTGTAAAGAGTAAAGAACTTGTAGACGCGCTTCTGCTAGGCCTAGGACGTCAGATTCGAAGGTGGAGCTTTAGTCACCTGCGCGTATTTTGAGGACTCCTCTTCCCACCAGAGTCCCGTGCGTTTCTCCCGCCAATGCGGTGCGCATTTTGGGTGTCGCTTGTGTCTCCGCCTCCAGCTTATCGTGCTTCCGAAATGCCGCCTTGCAGAGTCGTGCTCCTGCCACTTCCATGCGTGCCGATCGTGCTCACGCCACAGTGGTGCTCGCATAAAGTCGTCAGAGGTACTGCTGGAATGGTTCTTGGGTGTGTGGTACTGTTTGGGATCTACGGTACCACGGCATAATTCTTGATCCCTAATAGGCTTTGCGAAGCGGGGGGGGCCTTGCCGAGCACCGTCGATGGAATAAATCCCAGCGGTCGCCCCGAATCGGCCATCCAGGCCTGTCATGATAGTTGTGTATGTTTCTTCTTGTTGAACTATGGCAATTGACATTATTATCATTCTCATCGTTACTATTTGCTGTCAATATGATTCTGACTATAATGATTATGACTACTATTGTTATTGTTGTTATTACTATTACCATTATACTTGGTATTATTGGTTCTTGATGTCATTGTCATTATGATTATGACTGCCATTATGATTGTTGTTGTCAGTATGATGATGACGATGAATTATACTGATCCTGCGCCTTGTCTTATTGCTAGTGTTATTATCATTTCAGATGATGATGCTAGTGTTGCTGCTGCTGCTGTTGTTATTCCTGCTACTACCACGTTATTGCTAAGATTACTGAGGCGGTTATTGGTATGATTGTTGTTGCTGCTGCTGTTGCTG